CCCCCCCCCCCCCCCCCCCCCCCCGTCTCCCCCGGCGTTCCCCCCCCCCCCACGGGGTTTACACACCTGTCCCGAACAGGTGTGTGCCAGGGCTGGCCTTAGGAATGACCTGAAGGGACACTAAGGAGACCCCCCCCAACACACAAGGGCCATTTTAGAGATTTTTTTCCTTGTGGCTTTCAGGCCTTCTATTTAAAATAGAAATTACTTTTGGAATCTTTTGGTGGCAGTCAGAGAAAATAGGAGTCGGTGGCACACTGGGAGAGGAGCCAGGTCTGGAACCCGGACCGGGGGCTTTGCTCAGCACCAGGGCCTCGAGTCCTGGCTGCGTCACCCCCGCCCGTCTTCCTTCTCCTGGCCCTTCACGCCCCGGCGAGCCCACATTGCTGATAGTTCTCTGTCTACACTGTGCCTGGCCAGGTTCAGGCTCCGCTCTCCCTCTGCCTGTGGACTTTGCGTTTAAACTAGGCTTGCTCAGAATCAGCCTCAGGACTTGGCTCAGATGCCAAATGTGTCTGTATAGTCACATGTGCAGACATGTACGTCTGCATGCGTCTCTCTGCACACACACACGTCTACGCGTGTCTCTATACATACACATAGATACACACATTTTCATTTATATTTATATCAGTACAACAGCTGCTTTTTGCCAAATATTGCACGGCACTGGGGAAACCATGGTGCATAGGACAGAAATGGTCCCTTCCCTCCTAGAGCTCACAGCCTGGCGTTTCCTTCTCCCCCAGCTGAGAGGAGCCTCCCTCTGAACTCCCCAAGTCGCCCAAGTCCACGCCCCCTTGTCGCTGCGCCTCACAGATAGCCGTAAACTGCATGTGTCTAACTCTGTCTCCTCTGCTAGACTGTGAGCTCCTTGAGGGGAGGAACTGGTCACCTGTCACCTCGGGAACCTCAGCACCCAGCCTGGCACAGGCAGGCCCTGGGGGAATGTTGGTGACAAACTGGACTAGAGGGGAGCACGGGGCGGGCCACCCCTCGGGGAGCAGACAGTGGGTTCCAGGCAGGCCGCCTCCTAAGCTGGGGGGAGGTCTGCCTGGTGGAAGAGGAAGAAGAGTGGGGGGTGGACGTGCAGGAAGCCGCAGGCCACAAGCAGACGTTCTAAGGCAAGCTACACCTGGCGTGGGACTCGGAATGTTCCTTTCACAGGTGGAGCCAGCCATAGTTTTTATTTATGTGAGTTTAGATTTTCAAAGGAGAGGCCCTAGCTAGGGACTGAGGCCCCCAGCACTCAGAGAGTATATGGAAGGTTCCAGTAAGAAGTCAGGCACCCTCCCTTCCCACCTCTCCTCCATCCCACCCCCCATGCTGCTCCCATTTGACTCCCTGACCTCACGTGTCAGACAGGCCGGGGACCTCTGGCTGAAGCCAGTGGGGTCCACTCTCCCTTAGTGAAGCCCGGAAGGGAGCTGAGATTATCTGATGCTGCCATTTACAGTCAGGGACACAGGAACTTGGGAGGACAAGGATGAAGGGGGGCTTGGTTGGGGGCTCTCAGGAGAGCTGCAGTCCAGTTGGGGGTGTAATAGGTGCTTCTGAAGTCCCCTCCCTGCCTCGAGACTGCATTTTAAATGACTTGTCCCAAGCCCCCCGTAGGTGAGGGATGCCTGCTCTTTTTTTTTGATGCCTGCTCTTAAAGCTCCTTTTACCTGGACACTTCCTGTGCTCCAAGCGCCTTGCTGAGTGAGTTACACCAAGTGTCTCGGTAAATCCTTGCAACAACCGTAGAAGTGGGAGGTACTGTCATGAATGAAAATGCCGTTTTACAGTGAGCACATGGCCAGTAAGTGGCAGAGCTGGGATTGAAGCAGGTCCTGAACCCCCCACTGGCAGAGCTGCGGGGAGAGCCAGGCTTCCTTGTCACACCATGCCCTGGGGTCCTGTCTACATCCCTGGCCTTTCCCAAGTCCAAGGGAGGCAACACTACTAAAGTGGTGAAGTTGAGTCACCTACGACCCCGACCAAGCGTGACCACAGAGTGCAGGAAGGACCCGGGGCTGAGCATGGGCATGGATGGTATCTGTGCTGAGGACTCGGCCACCCTTTTGGCTTTATCTCCCCGTGGAAAGATACAGGCAGAAGTCCGGACAGAATGAAGGCCTGATTCAAACCCAGAAATTTGGGAGAGTGTTTGACTGAGGAGGGGGTGATTCTGGTGCCTTGCCAGTGTTATAGAACTTTTACCCGGAGGATTATTGTCTCATTTTTACTGGAGATTGGTGGAAAAGACACAGTGCCGATAGCAGCAGAGATTGGTGTGACTTTGGTCACCAAATGCGTGTGCAAATACAGCCGAGCCACATTACTCTCAGATTCTGTTTGAGAACTTGCCTATGCACTATAGTTTATTTATTACCCCAGGATCAGTACTTGTGGCTCTTTCTGTCATTTGCGGACATGTGCAGAGCGGTGGAACCTGAGTCACGCCCTGGCCCTTTCTTGGCTGAGGTCGCACGAGGCAGTGTTCGGCCTCCCACTCTGTCATCCGGGGTCCTGTTCACTGTATATGGAGAGCCGTGTCTTTTGTACTTTTGTGCTTTTCGTTATGATTTTGCTGTTTAAAACAGCCCCCAAGCACAGCGCTGAAGTGCTGTCTGGTGTCCCTAAGTGCATGAGGCTGCAACTTCTTCACAGAAAATCCGTGTTGGGGGAGCTTCCTCTGGCCTGAGCTGCGGTGCTGAATGCTGTGCGTCCAGGGTTAGTGAGTCAGCGTTATATGTTAAATGAGACGTCTTTACACAGAAACACACATGAAGCAAAGTTATGTTAGGATGGATTGGCTGGTGAAAATGTGCCCAGAGGCTTGTAGGAACCTGACCCTGTCTTTCCTCTAGGAGCAGTGGTTCTGTATTTGCTAATTCATTGTTCATAGTGACTTTATAGAACATTACTGTGAATAGCCAGAATCAGCTGTACCTGACCTTGCCCATCCGCTGGCATCACTAAGAAGGGTATTCTGGGTGCGCAGAGGTGATTTTTTTTAACCTCAGGAGTGGCCCTGCCTCCCCACCCCACCGAGGGATCCCTCTCTACTTCCTGCTTCGTGTAAGGACAAAAGCAGAGGGGGGATGGCCAGGGCAGGGGAACAACACTGGGCACAGGGAAGGCAGTCACAGTCCTGTGAGAGGTTGGCCTCTTTGCAGAAGCGGGGTTGGTGATTTAAATTTAAAAATTTAATTAATTAAAAATTTAAAAATGTGTTTTAGGCTGGCCAGTTAACTCAGTTGGTTAAAGCATGGTGTTATAACACCAATGTCAAGGGTTCAGATCCCTGTACACCCCAGCCTCAAAAAAAAAAAAAAAAAAAAAACTAAGAAAAGAAAAACAAGAACACAGCAGGCCTCTCTCCTTTCTTCTCCAGCGCCTGCTAATTCTTTGGTGCCTTATTCTTAAATTTCAAGAGCTCTTCTTCCTGGATAACAAAAAAGGAAGAACGAAAATATCTGAGTTGTTTTTCAAACAAAGTGAATGGGTTTTTGTTGCACCCCTTCTCTGTGATTAAAACCACTGAGGACATTGAAACTTGTTCCCTCCTCAGGGAGGAGCCCATGAAGCTGCTTGGGGTGGTTGAGCTTCTGTTTTGCTTTTGGCATGCCGGGATGGCACAAAAAGCTAGACCCAGATCTTCTAGAACATTCTACAAACGACTGGATTTCTCGTGGCCACTTGTACTCTCATCTGTTCAGTATTTTCATTTTTTAAAAAAAGCAGAATGGTTTTTCAAATGAAACCTTCTGGCAGTACCACCATGTATTCAACAGTGAAATGTGGCACTCTGGTTACATCCAGGAACCTCCTGTTCTTTTCCCACAGCCGGGAATCCAAGCAGAGGCGTCTCCTTAGTCCTTGAGGATGCCCATTGACACAGCTGGAAAACTACTCACCTGACTCATGTCTGTGGGGGTTAA